GTTACTGCTACGTATTCCCAAGCAAGGAACACTGTTTGGGTCTACCAACTCCAAAGGGAAGCTTGCAATATGCATCAGGGGGAGAGGATAGTGGCAATGTATTTCTCTTCCTTGCAATTTCTCTAGGAAGAAATAGATCATCTAGAGGCCTTGGAATGGAAGAATCTTGAGGATGGAGAACAATACAAAAAATATATTCAGAAGAACAGGGTTTGACTTCTTGGTAGGTTTGATTGCAGAGTATGATTTTACCTGGCAACATATCTTGAGTGGAGATATTATTTCTCTTGCCACGGCATACTCCTTGGTGCAGGGARAGGAAAGTAGGAGGGTTGCCAYGATGCAAACTGTAATTGGTGAACATTCTTCTTACATGTCCACTAAACCCAAGCAAAGTGTTAACAAGGTGTTAATGAGAAGACTAATGAAGTGGTGTGTGAATATTGCAAGAAACCAAAACACACTAAGGGCCGATGTTGAAAGATGGATCTCCATTTGAAGCCTGAGAAGTTTAAAACATCTAAGAAAGGAAATGCCCATTTTGCTACTAGGGGAGTTTATTGTTTGTCTCCTTGTGTTCAAGCTGCTTCACATGATTCTTCTGATGTGATAGAGAAGCTCAGGAGCCTTTTGACTCAGTTTGAAAAGACTGGGCCCTCTACCTCTATGGGCTCTAGTAATTCTTCTAGTGTTGTTGCTAAAACAGGTAATGTTCTTGCTTGTCAGTCCTCATCTCCTAGCTCTTGGATTGTGGACTCTGGGGCTAGCATTCACATGACTGGTATGCCTTCCCACTTTACCTCCTATAAGTTGGCTCCTGGGAAAGGTAATATCATTGTAGTTGATGGATCTCAAACTCCAATTTCTGGTCTTGGTGAAGTTAAGCTCACTCGAATCTTTCCTTGAGCTTTGCCCTTCATTGTTGCACAATTGCACAAAAACCTTTTTATCTCTTACCAAATCCCATAACTGTTCAGTGACCTTTTTTCCCTCACATTKTGTTTGTTAGGACCTGAGCTTGGGGAAGATGATTGGAATTGGGCATGAAGTTGATTGAGTTTATCTTTTTGATCATGTTCCTAGGCAAGGATTACTATGCCAAACTAAGTCATGCCAAAATGGGAATCTTAGTCTTTTGAAACTGTGGCACTATTGTTTTGGTCATGTGTTGTTTAAGTCTATTAAGTTTTGTTTCCGAACTTGTGTCGGTCTATGTCCAATCCAAGTCTACAATGTAAAGCTTGCCATCTCTCAAAGCAATGTAGAACTATATATTCTGCAAGTAATAGAAAAGGTAATGTTGCTTTTAACTTGATACATATTGATGTTTGGGGCCCATATTCTATTCCTTGCATGGGTGGTTATAAATGCTTTATCTTGTTTATTGATGATTACTYAAGATACACTTGGTTATATTTGATGAAGAGTCAAGATGAAGTCCCCTCCATTGTTTAGAACTTTTTTAAAATGGTAGAAACACAATTTGAAAAGAACATCAAAATAATAAGGTCTGACAATGCTAAGGAGTACTTTGAAAAGCATCTATGAATCTTTTTTGAAGAAAAGGGGGAAATTCTCCAGAGCTCATGTTCCCATACCCCTCAACAAAACGGTGTAGCAGAGAGAAAAAATTGACATGTGGTTGAAGTTGCTAGGGGGCTACTTTTTCATATGCATGTGGCCATTCGCTTCTAGGGAGATGTTGAAGTTGCGGTGTATGTGTATCTCATTAACAAGCTTCCTCCACAAACTCTACATCTCCAATCCCCTCATCAACTTTTATTCCCCAATGATCCTACTTTTTGTCTTCCTCTCCCAGTCTTTGGGTGTAGGTGTTTTGTTCATGATATGAGTCATTCTCGTCTCAAACTTGATCTTAAGTCCATCAAGTGTGTTTTTCTTGGTTACCCTCCTATCCAAAAGGGATACAAGTGCTTTGACCCCCACTTTGGTCGACRGTATGTCTCCAAGGATGCTACATTTCTTGAAACTACTCCTTTTTTCCAACGACCTCACACTTCTCTTCAAGGGGAGTGTTAGTGAAGATCGGACTCCGTTTTGTTTTCCTGTTCTTGCCTCTATAGATACTCCTAATATGTCTTCACCTCATCTTGCTTGTAGTGGCAATATTCTTGCTCCTCCTCCTCCTGTTCCTCATTAGCGGTCTTGGTAGCAGTGGTTCATCAAAAGCAGAAGAAGGATTGCTCCTGAAGCTGCAGGTCCACAACAATCTAATCATCTGGCTCCAGGTAGCTCTGTAAATAGTCTTGAACCCGAATTTCCTTTTCCTTCTAGTACTAAGCTTGATATCTCTGAGGATGACCTTGACCTTCCCATTGTAGTTCGAAAAGGAAAAAGGAAGTGCACTGCCTATCCCAATACTAACTATGTTTCTCATGATGCCCTATCACCTTCATACTATGCTTACATCTTTGTCATTTCTACTGTTTCTATTCCTCTTAATGTTACAGAGGCAGTGCAGTCCTCACAGTGGAAGGATGCTATGAACCAGGAAATGGAGGCCCTCATAAAGAACCAAAATTGGGAGATTGTCCCTCTCCCTAAGGGTAAGGTCCCAATGGGTTGCAAGTAGGTGTATATAGTTAAACATCAGGTTGATGGCTCAATTGAAAGATACAAAGCTAGGTTGGTGGCAAAAAGGTATACCCAGACATATGGGATTGATTATCAAGAGACTTTTGCACCAATGACTAAGATAAACTCCATTCGAGTGATCATGTTTCTTGCTACTCACTATTTGTGGTCTCTATATTAGATGTATGTAAAGAATCCATTCCTCAATGGAGATCTTCAAGAAGAGGTCTACATGGATATTCCCCCAAGAGTAAGCTTCCCTGATAGTGAGTGGAAGGTTTTCYGTCTAAAGAAATCTCTTTATGGGCTCAAGCAATCTCCTAGGGCTTGGTTTGACATATTCAAAAAAGCTATTTTTAAAATTGGGTTTACTCAACCACAGGCAGATCATACTCTTTTTATAACAAGGGCTAATGGCTTAGTGGCTCTTCTGATAGTGTATGTTGATGATATTGTTATCACTGGAGATGATAACTCCGGAATTGTCCAACTAAAGTCTTTCCTTGCTTCTGAATTTGAGATCAAAGACCTCGGGAATCTCAGATACTTTCTTGGGATTGAAGTGGTAAGGTCAAAGGAAGGAATCTTCATTTTGTAGAGAAAGTATGTTCTTGACCTTCTTCATGAGGTAGGCAAGTTGGGGTGCAAGCCAGTTGAAACCCCCATTGATCCCAATCATAAATTGAGTGTTGATGATGGAGAMATTCTTCCTAACAAAAGTGTTTATCAGAGACTTGTTGGTAGACTTCTCTACCTGTGTTTGACCAGGCCTGATATATCCTATGTTATAAGTGTGGTGAGYCCATATATGCATAGACCCAGAACTTCACATATGTAGGCRATTAATAGAATTCTTGCCTAATTAAAGGGATGTCTAGGCAAAGGAATGTTGTAYTCCAACATGGACATCTCAAGGTTGAGGCTTATACTGATGTAGATTGGGCAGGCTTTGTGGATGATAGGAGATCCACCTCTAGTTACTGTGCGTTAGTGGGAGGTAGTGTTGTGTCATGGAGAAGTGAAAAGCAATCTGTTGTTGCCCGATCTAGTGTGGAAGCAGAATATATAGCTATGGCTCATGGTGTATCAGTGTTACTTTGGTTGAGGACTTTGTTATCTGAGGTTGGAACCCAAACTGATATTCAAATGACACTGTATTGTGATAACCAAGCTGCCATAAACATTGCCCATAATCCAGTCCAGCATGATCGGAYAAAGCATATTGAAATTGACAGACACTTCATTAGAGAGAGAATAGCTAGTGGAGAAATATGTATGTCGTATGTCAAGTCTGAAGATCAACTTGCTGATTGTCTCACCAAAGGTCTTCTACAAACTGAACTTGAGGGGGAATGTTGAGAATATATATTGCATCAGGGGCTTTTGGGTTTTTAATTCTTTGTGTATTTGCGCCCTCTTAGGGGCATTTATGTAATTTTCCTAGTTAGTAWAAAGGCTTCTTTGGGTGTGAACAGTAACTCACCCAACTCTTTCGAAATAGCTTCTTTTGTTACTTGACAACTAATGGAATGCAATTTTGTTTTTCACTATCAAACAAATTATTGTTTCACTACCTGTTGATTGGTATACTGCACAGAGCCTAAAAATTAGGTTGATGTCATGCTTATTACTTCCAATGGCAAACCTCAGCTCCAATTTGGGCTATGTTGTGACTCATTAGTTGTGTGGTTTAGGATGATTAATTGATGGTTAACATGAGTTGAATTTTACATACATACATAATTTTGTCTCTTTAAAAGACTCCTACTTGACTCTCTGTCTTGTTTAAATTGAATAGGGACATCACCACTACATTCCCAAGCTTCGTGTTTCACTCACAAGTTGATGATACCTGAGGTTTCTGTCTGATTTAGAGCTTAGATCTCTTTGTCAATGATGATTTGCTCATTTCTAGACAATGATGTGGTGGGTCTTTTGAGTTTTAGAGGTGCAGAGCAAAGCTTTTGGAGTTGTTTGATGATTGTATTGAGGAGTTTGATATTTCTATGTTCAACTGGTACTCTCCCCCCTGGGCAGCGGTTCCTCAAAATGATGAGATCTTCAATCTGAATTAAACATGGTGCACAAGTTTTTCATGGGACGTTCTTAATGGTCGTAAAGCAAACTGCACTCCTTTTGCTTATTTAATGAATGCTAAAAATTAAAAATAAAACACCAATGGATGGAAATGCACCACCCTTCTCGACCTTTCCAGCAATCCCAGGATTCCCCGTTATGTCATMATTTGTTGCATAAATGATGTGGTACTGGTATTTATTCATGAAAACAATGGGTCTGTGCAAGGTCATTTACAGTTGCATTAAGGGCCGTGGTCTTTTCATCAGGGGAACTATGGTATTTTGCCCCGAAAGCAAGGACTATGTACAAGGTTGTTAACATTTGCATYAAGACCAACGTTGCGGTGCATGTTCTTAGAGGAGCCAATGAAGCTGCTCATTGCTTGGAAAAATGCTTATCTTGTGTTTAGAACGTCCTCTACTCCATCTTTTGTTGAACATATGTTATCACTTCATCACTTGTATCTAATTTATTGATGGAATACCACCAACCCTATAGGTAGGGTTTGGGACAATACATTCAGAAAATCAATAAAAATTTATGAGGGGAGCAAATCATAGATTTCTCTTAAAAAAATAAATTTGCAAAGGGACCCTTTTCACTTGGTAGAAATAGCCAAATAGGATCAATCATCTAGGGATGAAGCCTAAGAAATTGTTAGACATCTTTTTCTTTTCCTAAGCTTTAGCTCTTGATTTCCCTCCACTCCATTCAAGACTAGAAAGATGTCGAGCACCCTTGTATTTTCACATGAAGATCAAACCAATTGATACGGCTGCAACCTAATTGCTTGACAGCTCTTAGAGGAAACATGAACAATCATGAAATTTGGCACTTGCATGGTGGCATAGATGAGAAATGTAGCATGAGGCTTGGGCTGCGTATAGATTGGGGTGGGAAAAAATATAAAAGGTGGGCGGAAAAGCATTTATGAATTCTCTACTCTCCTAGAATCCATGGAAGACTAATTATTTCCATTTCCTATTCATTACTAATTATTTTCATTTCCTATTCATTATAAAAGATCTATTAATGAATTGTTGGAAATGGAGACCATAAGGCATTTCTAAAAATCAAGTTTACAAGAAAATATCATTTCTAGGTAAACAGAAGCTATATGGTAATCTACACCCCTAAGGAGCAGACACATGGCCAAGCCAAGGACTGGATGCGTGTTCAATTGACCAACAAAGAGTGGTGTGTTATCGGACGGCTCTAGCCCTTTTGCCCCATCAGTGACAAGACACAGGCCAATGTTTTAAAAATTGACCTAGAATCGGAACTGTTTCGGCTACCAGTTTTTGGGTTGATGGTTCGATCATCCGGTTTGATGGTTCGACCACTTGGATCAATGGATCATTGACCAATTCAATGATTTTTGGCCAAGGACCGGATTTGGGATAAAACGAAACCAATTGCCTGGACAGTTCCCRGGCTGAATGGTCGGACTGTTTAGGTCAATGGCAGTTAAAAAACATTGACAATGGGGAGGCACTGTTACCCGAGGGCTTGCAAGGAGGTGATGTGTGGCCCACAAACTGGAAGCGTAACAAGTCGTTAGATGACTATATAAAGATATGCCATCCAAGGTAAAACTCCCTACGCACTCTTGTATACTTTTGTACTCTCTAACCCTCTTCAACACCTCTCGCGAACAGCTCATAGCTCACCTTGCCAGTTCAACTGTTCAGCTCATTTCGGTCTTTACCAACCATCCTGTGTTACTGACTCGAGGGTCGAAGAACCTTTCCTTGGGGAACCAACCACCTTTGGGGCCTTCGGCTATCATTGTGTGTGCAGGTCACCAGCAATCTCTGGCTCGTCCAGTCACCTTCCAGCTCATCCTTGGCTCAAAAGTGGAGAACTAAGAGCGACATTGAGAAATGGTAGGAGAGGCTATTCATCCTAATAAACTAACCCTCCCTAATTAAGGTTTTTTACTGTTTAGTCCACCCCTATAAATCTTAGCTCCACGGTACAGTTGAAGTAGGTGTCAGGTTGGAACTGATGYTAATACACAGGCAGGTATTGGTGTTATAGGTGGAATTTGAAATTTTCAATTATTGTAGGTATGCAGTGAAATTCAGAATTCTGAAAGAGTGCAAACTATTTATCCCTAATTATTTTAAGGTTTATACAGTGATATGGATGTTAAAAATTAGTTCTGAACTATTAATCGTACTTAGCATGTTGGGCTGTGACTAGTAGTGCTGTAACTATGACCATGTCCCTATGAATTGAAGTGGCTCTACCTTGAATTAGACAAGTGAAGTAAACTGGGGTCGCAGAAATGCATTGAAGGCTGTGATTTCATGGTTTTGATTTCTCTTTTACGTGTTGCTTGGAACCACACCAATCARGATTCAGGAGTTCAATTTTACAACGACAGGGTCGCRCAGRGCTATAACCAAAAATCATGGCGAGTGGCCCCAATAAAATGTTACTTCATCTAATTCAAGTTGGGGCCATTGTAATAGATCAAAGGTTTTAAAGTGTCGTTGCAAATGTGGTTTGACCAACAAGTAGGCTTTTTAGCAAAGGAGTTGAGCAAGTGCTCTTTTGCAACAAAATCCCCTCCCCTACTTTGAAATTTAACCAACCTCACTTGCATACAAGGTTCAAAGTATCGATATGTATTAGTTGATACGTATCATTTCGGGACCCTTCCAATACGCCCCTATAGTGGGTGTATCAGGGGTCTGACTGGTGCAGGGGGTGGAGAAGCCCTAAACCGACCCCCCTGAACCGGTTTCAGGAAAAAAGAATAAAAAATAAAAAAAAATAGTATCGATTCACCTGATACGCCCCTACTGGCATATCGGGCATATCGATATTTTGAACCTTGCTTGCATATAAGATCTCGTAGACTGGGTGAATGGAAGTTTTGGCTTTAGAGATGTAGCTTTCAGCAACAGAAGGCGATCCAAGTCCCCCACAAATGGTGCGGTCAATGGCAAAGAAAGAGTAGCCAAGCCAAACACCGCAAGATGGCGGTCTTATTCAGCTACTCCTAGAAGCTAGAACAGGGATTCTATATATGTTGAATAACGGAGTGGAGTACACACAACCTGCAGCCTACTCCGTTATTACATTACATTGCTTAAAAGTTAAAACGGGATGCCTTAGCTGCTGAGCACTATAAATGTTTTTTCATAAGGTTTTTGTATGCTCCAATATTAATTCATCACTGTGGCAATTTTTGGAGGATTATTGATTCAACATTTGGTTTTTACATTTTAGCAATGCGGCAACGCGCCACCCAGAATGGCAATGGCTTRTAACTTTTATAAATAAATATTTGGTGGCCCCCTAACTTCACAAGGCCCAAATCGTTTTCGTGATTTGATTTGTGTTTGCTTAAACTAGGAAAACAACCCGAACGCATTATGGTTGTGATATTTGAACCGAGATGGGACCTTCTTTTTCATGATAGAGAGATGGAGGACCCTCCCTACTCCCTAGTCCCTATTTAAGAAATGTTTTACAGAAGAAGGGACATCATTTTCCTCCAATGCCCCGAAGTCCCACTCCACTACTACAAATTAAAAAGACGATCCTTTGTTTAATCTAATCCTGCGTTTGCTAATTTGCTTGCTGCCTTTCTCAGAATTTGTGAAAAAAAAAAACAAAAGTTGTCTCRCAATTCTCCTTGAAAACAATTAAAGCACTTAGTTCTCATTTATTAGAAAAACTAAAGAAAATGTAAGCAATTCCTTCTAAACTCTAAAAAAAATAAACCGAAACTTCTAAAACCTAACCATATTTCTCAAGAACAAATTTGGTTGGTATCAAAATTGGCCCACTTGGTTATCAGTTTCACACATTCTTGCCTTGGGTTTTATCCTAGTGGCAGACCTCCATTGGAGCCTCCTACTCTGTTTTCTCAGCAACAAGACCATATGACCGACCACATCCACATTTGCGAGTTCTGAAATGYCGCCTATCCTAAATGGCAAGTGTGGATAGGACCTCTTTGGCACAACCAAATTGATAAATCACAAGCGCCCAATCTTTGTAAACAACTACAAAAGCAAACTTTGGACTAGAGACACCCTTGTTAATTTGCACTGAGCAAGCGAGCAGTCTCTATTTCTCCCATAACAAGACTAGCACTTGGCACATCATAATTCATCCATCCATTAAGAACGAAGTTCTCGGCCCCCAACCTTTACCCACTTTAAAAAACTGGGTCAAACAAACGACGACTAGAGAGAACGGGCATTACAGCATAATAGTCAGACAAGTGCTCGAAGCCAAAGCGATAACCCATCCATCCCAGAAGGAAAAGCTAACATTTCTTTGATTAAAACTCAAAATTTTAATGATATAACAAAAGTATATAAAATGAAGATAAGCTCATCAGAAGCCACCTGCGACGATTAAAAGACTAAAATATGAAAATATGCTGCCATCCATGAACCACTCACTAATTGGAAACGAAAACAAAAACATAACCCACTAACCAAAAAAAAAGTAGTACTTTGTCAGGTTCTTCACYCCCAACCTTAATCCTCCTCGTGAAAGAAAAGGCGAATAAAAAAAATACAAATCATAGAATACCTAGATTAGAATATTAGAGATGTGGTAGATTTCAGTCAACTTCCTCCATCTTGCTGCCTTCAGCATCAGCATCCTCTAGTGGGGGCATATCAGCGTCCGCATCAGCATCCCCACCATCCTCATCAATGCTCAGCCCAAGCTTCAACATCCTATGGATCCGATTGCCAAATGTGTTGGGGTCTTCAAGACTGAAACCCGAAGTGAGAAGAGCAGTCTCAAACAACAAGAGAACCAGATCTTTTACTGATTTATCATTCTTATCAGCATCAGCTCTCTTCCTGAGCTCTTCCATGATGGGGTTCTCGGGATTAATTTCCATGGTCTTTTTGCTAGACATATAGCCAGCCATGCTTGAGTCTCTCAGTGCCTGTGCTTTCATGATCCTTTCCATGTTGGCAGTCCATCCATACTCCCCAGTAACCAAACAACAAGGAGAATCCACCACACGGTCTGACACTACAACCTTCTCAACCTTGTCTCCCAAGACGTCCTTTATCACCTTGCAGAGACCCTCGAACTTCTCCTTCAAAGCTTCATTCTTCTTTTTCTCGTCCTCGCTCTCGTCCAACTTCAAACCCTCCTTGGTTGCAGACACAAGCTTCTTCCCTTCAAACTCCTTCAACTGACCAACTGCATATTCATCAATGGCATCAACCATGAACAAAACCTCATACCCCTTCTTCTTCAGCTTCTCAAGGAAGGGGGAGTTCTCAACAGCCTTCTTGCTCTCACCAGTGATGTAATAGATATCGTTCTGTCCTTCCTTCATCCTTGTCACATAGTCCTTCAAGCTAGTCATCTCATCTCCACTCTTGGTAGAGTGGTATCGAAGTAACTCAGCCAGTTTTCCTTTGTTCTGGGAATCCTCGTGTATCCCAAGCTTGAGGTTCTTAGAAAAGGCCTCATAGAACTTGTTATAATCCTCCTTGTTCTCAGCAATCTCAAAGAACAGCTCAATGCACTTCTTTACCAGGTTCTTGCGAATTACCTTGAGGATCTTGTTCTGTTGCAGCATTTCTCTGGAGATGTTCAAGGGAAGGTCTTCAGAGTCAACAATGCCTTTCACAAAGCTCAGGTACTCGGGGATCAACTCCTCACAGTTGTCCATGATGAAGACACGGCGGACATAGAGCTTGATGTTGTTGAGCTTTTTCCTTGTATCAAAAAGATCAAAGGGTGCCCTCTTAGGAACAAATAGAATAGCCTTAAACTCAAGCTGGCCTTCAACCGAGAAGTGCTTAACAGCCAAATGTTCTTCCCAGTCATTGGTAAGACTTTTGTAGAAGGCAACATACTCTTCCTTGGTGATCTCTTCTGGCTTCCTCATCCAGATTGGCTTCTGCTTGTTCACTAAATTCCATTCGTGTGAAACTTCCTTGATCTTCTTCTTTTTCTTCCCTTCCTTCTCTTTCTCTTCATCAACATCCTCAACCTTACCTTCCTCATCCTTCTTTTCTTCTTCATCCTCATCATCAGAGATCTCCTTCTCAGTGGTCTTTTCAGTCCAGAGAGAGATAGGGTAGCTGATAAACTCAGAATGCTTCTTGATCAAGTCCTTGAGACGGCGCTCCTCCAGGTACTCCAATTGGTCCTCCTTGAGGAAGAGGGTTATCTTTGTACCCCTTCCAAGGTCCTCACCGGAGGTGTCCCTAGTGACAGTGAAAGACCCACCAGCCTGAGACTCCCACACGTATTGCTCATCATCATTGTGTTTTGTGGTAACAACGACCTTCTCAGCAACGAGGTAAGCAGAGTAAAAACCAACACCAAACTGCCCAATCATGCTCACATCAGCACCAGCAGCCAAGGCTTCCATGAACTCTTTGGTTCCAGATCTTGCAATTGTACCAAGATTGTTTACCAGATCTGAGTAAACAGCAAATATCGTTTAGCTTAGTATCTCATAAAGCATATGTATCTAGAATAAGCACCCCTTCCTGAAAATATTCTCATAGGCCAACACTTACCAGCCTTTGTCATGCCAATACCACTGTCGATTATGGACAGAGTGTTGTTGGTTTTGTCAGGAATTATATGGATGAAGAGTTCCGGCTGTCCATCCAACTTGCTCTTGTCTGTCAAGCCCTCAAATCGGATTTTATCCAAGGCCTATCACAGATGATCAACAACACAAAAAACACATCAAAATGACAATAGGGTAACTATTTTGAAAACCAATTCGTGAAATACGAAAACATTCGAATTACAGCATAGAAACAGAAATCCCAGGTCCAAAACAAAGTTCGCGCATTCCCCAAAAAACAACACCAGTTCCAACCCTTTAGGTTGGTTTAAACATTATTAAGAACAACACAGTAAAATAACCAACATGAATACCCCAAGAAGATTTCAGAATGGAGCATATAAAAAAAATCACACCGGAACTAATTCAAGGTTTTCTATGGCTTCATTAAACTTTAAAACAGCAAAATCAAGGAGAACAAACTACAAAAAAAATATCTTAAGTAGAGGAATGGCACTGCAGCTAGTAAGAAGTTTTGTATTGGATGAGATCATGAAAACAGAGCAAACATGGGTAACAAACAAAAAAATAATTCACTTCAATGCATTGATTAAGTGCATAAAATTAAAGAACAAGCGGACTAAAAATGAAAAATAAAGATAAATTATATTGCATTTAAATTCGATATAAAAAGGAACACAAAATAAGAACCACGCATTTCACTTCAAAGCAGTTTTAGAATACGTAAAATTGCAGAACAACGAAAAATGAACAAAAACATACAAACCATATTCTTATTAAAACCCAATAACACACGCCTAGAATCACAGATCCCACTTTGAAACAGTGCTAAAGCACGCAAAATCAGATAACAAAGTGACCCCAAAGCCAAAATAATCGACTTCAATACAACGTAAAGTAAGCAAAATAACCATAACAAATCTAGAAGATTTCGACGGAACAGACAAAACAACCGTGTAAAACAAGGGACAGAATCAGCGACAGAGAAACAAGACATAAACTCTAGAGTTAAGTAACATTTCTGTAAGGCTATGATTGAAGGTAGTAATGCTCACATCGGAAGAGTTGCTAATAAGTTCTCGGAGGAAGATCTCCTTGTTGCTGTAGAAGGTGTTGATGATCAGACTCAACAACTGGTTGATCTCAGCCTGGAAGGCAAACGTCTCGGTCTCCGCCATGATGAAGAAAAATGAGAAAACAGAGCTGAGATCGGTGTTGGTTAGGGTTTGATAGAGAGAAATAACAAATAGAGAATGGGTTTGGAGTCGAACTGTGTCGATATATAGGGACTTCCCTAGGGTTTCTAGATCCTTCTATTCTAAACCCGAAATGAAAGGAAAGTCAAATTGCAATTAGTATTAAGAAGGAAAATATAAATGAGAATGAAATTATTTTTCCCATCACGTGTTCATGGCACCTGAATTACTCTTGCGGATGTGCCTGTGAGGCGCCCATAGGTGAGGCGCAGATCCCGCTTCTCTATTACTAACAAAACGTTCAGAATAGTCCACTGCAGCCGTATATTGAGAACATCTCTGTGTCATTTATTGAGAGATGTTCTAGATATACAGCTGCCATGGCAGGTTGGGACGCACTGTGTGTGGGCAACTGTGTGAGGGTCTTATGCCGCGTGTAATCATGTAAAGCAGGTTGGATTATGAATAGTTTTATCAAATCGAGTAAATTTTCAAAACTTTAATAGCTTGATTTCCCTCCTTATGATGATTAGCTTATAATCCTAATTATTTTATTATAAGGTAAAGTTGGTTTATAAATTAATGGAGAATTGATTCATTATTATTTTTACATACTTGAAATTTGAAAATTATTTTATAATATTTTAAATATTTTTTTAGTAATAATATGATAAATATATACGTGCAATGCGCATGCACCCCGCTAGTAATGAACAAATAGAAATTGCAAAAAATTACAAAATTATAGAAAATGTAAAAATGCACAAAATTTAACAAAATTTTCAAATATATATATATATATATATACAAAAGACATAGAAGATGCTGAAATTTAACAAAAAGAAACATAAATATAGGAAAATAATAGAAATTACAGAAAAATACATAAATTATAGGAAAATTAAAATGCAAATTTTAAATTTTACATAGGAAAATGTAAGGCCCTATTTGGCATCACTTTGGAGGCTGATTCTTCTAATTCTACTCATTCTCACAGGATGAGAATGGTGTTTGGTTCAAACCAGTACGTTAGTTCCATTCGAAACGGGATACTCCAGATCTCCTACCCACGAGAACCTTGTCCACGCCTACCCACAATACACCACCCCCCGTGAATTGGGAACATCTCCCTTTACATAATACTATGCAGAGGATGAGATGTTCTTCGTGTATGGCTAAGATAAACGTGGGCAGAGATCCAAGCTCTGAAAAATCCCTCCAGAAACAACATTTTTCGGAGTTAAAAAAGGTGGATCCTAAAAACTCGCATTTCTCAATTCTCACCATGTTAATTACTAACAACGAGCAAGTGTGGCAGAGTCACACATGAAAACTATGATATTTTTGTAATTTCCGTTTAGGCTCTAACACTAACCCGAAACCCTACCCCTTCGTTTATTTTTTCTTCTTCTTCAACTTCTGTTATTCCCAAGGTTTTTAAAAACGAACCAGAAACAGAACCGGTCAGGGGACCGGTTTCCAGTTAAGTGGTTCGACCTGTGATATTATAAATAAATTAAAAATTAAAAATATATTTATAAATAATAAAAATATCATAAAATTAAATAAAAATAGAAAAAATATAGAATTAATGATTTTGGGGAATTGATGACTTCATTGATGATTCTTAACAAGGCCAGAGGAGCAATGTCATTTTCCTTTTCATTTTGCCTAGGGTGAATTTCTAGAATGAGATTGACAAGTTCAAACTTTTTGGGGAATTGATAACTTCAGTTGATGATTCTTAACAAGGCCAGAGGAGCAACGCCCTTTTCCTTTTCATTTTATCTAGGGTGAATTTCTAGAATGAGGAGATTGACAAGTTCAAACTTTTTGGGGAATTGATAACTTCAGCTGATGATTCTTAACAAGGCCAGAGGAGCAATGCCATTTTCCTTTTCATTTTACCTAAGGTGAATTTCTAGAATGAGAAGATTGACAAGTTCAAACTTTTTGGGGAATTGATGATTCTTAACAAGGCGAGAGGAGCAATGCCATTTTCCTTTTCTTTWTACCTAGGGTGAATTTCTAGAATGAGGAGATGAGATCTTGATATGATTCTCTCTATGTATATATCTCAAGTTGAAGTGAAATAGGCTTCATTTTCTATTATCTTTATCTATCAATTGTAAGAAAGATAGGCTTCAGGCTTGGTCGTAGGTGATTGCCACTACAAGTGCTACTGCAAGCCTGCAACTGTTACTATTGCTAGAAAGTAGAAACCCCCGCAAAATCACCACTACAAAATCGCCAGCTGCTGCTACAAATCAGTCGTCCGACCTGTTAYTGCCGCATCTGTTAGTGCTGGACCTGCTGCAAAATCAACGTTGTTGCCGTAGATGAAGTTCACCGCCATCACCAGTCGCCATCGGTTGCTGTGTATCGCAGTCAGATGTCGTAGGTGTGGCCACCGCAGGTGGTCGGTTGGGTGTAAGGGCTAAGAGAAGGGAAGGGTTAGAATGAAAATGGGGTCATTCTAACCCCAAGCATGTAAGATTTGGGGTCAGAGATATGGTAGTCATTTTTTTTTTTGTTTTTTATTTTATTAAATCAGAAAAAAAAATTATAACCCACGAACCGTTGTTCGGGTTGAATGGTTTAACGGTTTGATCACTTGGGTCAGTGGTTTTCTGACTTTTTCAACATTTTTTAAGAATTGCAGGTTTATAGTATAACTGGACCCGGGGGACTGACCGGTTATCGGTTTTTCCGGTCCGACCGTCCAGTCCAGTCCGGTTTTGAAAACCATGGTTATTCCTCATCATCTACAATGGTCCAAAAGATCTTTGGTGCCGACCAAGTTTAAAGTGAGAAACATTCAATTTTTCTTCGTGCCAGTTATCTCTTCAGAAGTCGTGTCATCTATCTGACTGGTTTTCTTCTTCCTTATAGAGGTGACTCTCACGAACTAGTATTTTCTGAAGATCTTCGATCTCCCACTCGTTACAGGTATGGACTTTAACCTTTAAGACCTGTCTCTGTTCAATTGTTGACAACCAACGCTAAAAAAAGATTCAAAACCACCAAGATTACCAAAATAGACCTGCCTTTATTTCAGTTGATGACCCGCCTCTATTTCTTTTGATCTTTCTCGGTTCATCTCCTGTTCCACTTTGCCTTTCTAGAAGAAACAAAATGTTGGTAAAATTTATATGAAAGCATCCATTTGTTCTTTGGCAGCTACCATCCAAACAAACATGGCAATGGCAATAAAAGTAAAATCCAGGTGGATGGTAATCTACTTTGGTACATCCTTTTTTTCTTTGGCTACGAACCTGCTTTGTTAATCCGCTTTGATTGCAAATAAACCATTAACGTCTAGGTGGATGGTCAGATAAATTTACCCCATCATTCGTTTTCTGAATGGAGTTTACTCATTCTTTTTAGTAATACTAATGATACTATAATCAACGATTGAACATAGTCACTTTGCCTTTCTGGGAACAATTAATAAAACCATTGACATTGTTTTGCCTATCAAATGATCGAAAAATTGATTCAAAGAAATTGGTCGCTGCCAAACATGATTCTATTTCTGAAAAACAGGAATCATATGACTGTGCCAAACAGGACTGGCGATTTACAAGATGAAAATTCTTAGAATCCATCCTTTTCTGAAAAAATTCTAAGAATGAGAATCCTAAGAATTGATTTCAAACTGGGCCTAAATTATACAAATCACTTCATTGTTGCCAAAACCACACAAATGTTGGAAGAGTGTATAAAAAATAAGCTAAATTTCTCATTAACTATTGCAATCCCTACAACATCTGATTGAGTTAAATACATGCCATTAATATCACTACCACTTCCCAATAGTTCACCATTTTAACACAATTTGTAACATATGTATTGATATCCCAATCATTACCTACCATATGACTGATGTGAGACAGAAGAAGAGATAAAATACCTTGAATTGTCAATGGAGTACAAACTAACCTTGTTGTAGGAGTTATCTTACATTTTTAAAGACTTTAGTAGTTTTAGAGGCTCTAATATAGTAAGACTACGAAGTAGATTGTTGCTTGCATTTGAGCAAGAGAGAAGATGCATAAACTCTAAACATTTTAAGAAACCTATTAATTAGTCTTTACACAAAAATCCAAACTCTTAACAAGTACTAGAACAACAGGATGCTACATATTTAACATTCAATCATAAGGTATGGATGTAATTAGACAAGTAGTTTAGCAAGAACATTGAAATTTTACCAAGGAATAGCCAAGAAAATAAGAAATAATTTGGGTAGAAATATCAAGGGTTAAAGTAGAAAATATTAAAAAGGGTATATTTATTGATAACTTCCCACTTTTTACGAGATAAACCTAAACCTTAACCCTATAAATCTAGTATAAACAAAAAAAACCCACATTAAATATTCTTTTTCTTTTTATAACCAAACAACAATTTTATTAAGAGCAAGGGAAGACAATGCACAACTAAGACAAATGAAGCAAAAGTAGGCAATAGCTTCCATCTAAGATGGCATTCTTTACAATGGAGCATTTTTTCCGTGAAATTAACAACCATTTACAAATGTGACAATAGAACCAAAAACAAACTAACAAGCAAATACCTAAAACCAAATAGCAAAATGAAACTAAATCTCCAAGTGAATATCCATCATTCCATCCTTTATGCTCCTTCCTATGAAACCTATCTACAATAGTATAATGCACTATTAAGTTCTAGTTGAACAAAAAAGTTCACTCCAAAGTATGAGAATTGTAAGTCGAATTGCTACATTTTATACATCCAATAGCCACTCAATGAGGAGACCCTAAAACAAAAGCCCAAAACTAATTACATTTGAAGTATAATTGCCAATTGCTCTGGAGTGTATTGAAAAAACCTCAATAGCATGGCCTCTAAAAGCAACTCCAATGGCTAAAGATTTGTACTTTGTAATTATGAAACATCTAAATATAGAAATTCTATGATTCTACACTACTAGAGTGATTAGATTTAGAATTTTATGGATCCATCACTAAACGAATATCAATTGTTTCATTAAATCTACAAAAAGGGAAAAACTTACCTTATAACCCAAACAATCAATCCTATGCAAATTAGAGCTTCAACATTTTT